CAACTAGACCCTGGCACAAGCAAATGTAGGGGAGGCTTAGGGAGCCAGGCAGGAGAGTGACTTCTGGAGAAGTTTCCAGAACTTAGAAGAAAAATGCATGGGTGGAGCCCTGTAGTGAGTACCAGCACTAGGTGGCCCAAATCGATTTAGCCCAGAGGCCTAGACAGAGCCTGTCCTGGCACTAAGGGCGGTCCACTCCACAGGGGGCTGCCTCACAGGCGCAGTTTCTGCCTTCCAGCTTCTGAAGGCAAACGGGCAGGCAAGGGGGCACTTCCGGCGTCTGTCTTCCTGCGCCTCTGCCCTCAGGTCTCAGAGGAACCAAAAAGCTAGCGGTGGTACTCTACTCCTGGGGCCACCTGTGACTTAGTGGGGAACAGGCAGGAGCCTGGGGTGACAAGATCCAGTGTAGCAGAGCCTGTCACAGGCAAATGGGGTTCTGGCTCCCACACCTGGGTCACCAAGAGGAGCCTCAGGCTAAGAAGGAGCTAAGAATGGGGAGCTCTCAGAGAGAAACTCAGGGCTCAGGGCACAATGGCCTTAGTGTGGGAGGGCCCTGCTCCCGAGAGATGTTTCCATGGTACCCACAAATGTCAATGGTCACATTGTGTGGGAGGCCTTGGCTCCAACCCCTCCCTTGGCGTGGAAAGACAGTGTGTGGGAGGGAGCCTTGCTTTCTGGCCCCGCAGATAGCCCCGGCACCGGGCTGTGGGGTGGCCGGCAGGGGATGGGAGCCTTCCCACCACCCCTCCTCCTCTGCAGACAAGTGAGCAGCTGTGGGGGTGTTCCCAGGACAAGGCTTCTTGAGGCCTAGGACTCACGCCTGCAGTCATCCAATCCTCCTGTCCTGGGGGTGCTCATCTCTGGAGGGGACAGAAAGCTGAGACGCGCCCTTTTTGTGTGTGCTTTCTCCAAACCTGAGCCAATAAATCAGCCCTCCCTCGGCTGACTCACCCACAGGCACCACTGGCTTTGGTGCCAAGTTTGGAGAAATGGGAAGCCATCTGTACGTTACCAGAGCTCGGCCGCGTGAGACTCACTTGTCACCAAAGCAGTATGGTAGCTAGTGAACCTCGTTAACTCTTAGCCAGGCAGCTAGCTGACAAAACTTTCTGGCAGTGCCCTGGCTGAGGAAGGACGCTGAAGAGCTCTGGACTGTGAGAAGAGGCTTCCAGGCAGGCTCCAGGCCAGCCGAGGGACAGGAGCGGGCAGGAAAGCGGATGGGGCTTCGGAATGCCTTCTGTGCAGGGTGACCATCTTATACGGGTGCCCAAAGGGACGGGGCAGGAGGAGAGTCCTCTTCCTTCCCCCACCAACCCCCAGAAAGTGTCCCTGGATGAGGAATGGGCACCCTGGCCTAGAACAACGCTGGGTGAATGCCATGGGGGGGGACTGTGGTGTGGGGGTGAACTCAGGAGGGAAGGCTGGGAGGGAGACAGAGAGAGGGGCTGGGCAGCTGGCTGGCCAGCTGAAGGGCTTGCTGCTCAAGCCTCGTGACTAGATCCCCAGAAATCCTCGTAGCTGCCAGTGGGGGGTGGGGGTGGGGTGGCCCACCTCTGAAGGCAGAGACATAGATCCAGATCACCAGAGCAGGCTGGCAAGGAACACTAGCCATATTGATGACATTCTAGTTTTAACTGAGAAACCTTGCCTCAGTGAGACACAGCGAAAGAGGGATCAAGGGTGATCCCCAACATCAACCTTTGGGTCTCCACACAGAGGCCCATACATGTTCACATGTACCCACCCATACACATGAAAAATCACGCACGCGCGCACACACACACACACACACACACACACACACACACACACAGGAAATATGGAGGGAGGGAGAAAAAGAAAGGGGGGGGTTGGTCAGGAAGGAGAAACCTTGGGAAAGACCTAATGGGAAAACACAGGAATCCACTTAGGGCATGCAGGGGAGTGGCCCACCCTGGGCTTTCGGAAAACAAAAGTCCCTACAGTTCTGGCTTGGCAGCTGGTACTGTGTTTTCACGGTATAGAGATACTTCTGTGGTCACCTCTGCGAAGGTATCCCCTGCAGATGCGGGAAGGGCTGGCTGGTGCTGACGGCTCTTTGCAGCGAGCTCCATACATCACTGTATCTCCCCATCCAAGGAAACATTTGAGACTTCAGAGAATGTCTGGGGAACTGGCTAAGTCCTTCCTTTCCCTATACTTCCTGATGAGAAGTGCCTCGGACACCTGGCTCCTGCTCCCTGGTTACCAACCAAAAGAGTTCCTCCCAGGGTTAGCTGAACTCTCTGCCCCCTTTGCAGAAACAAAAATGTGAGATCAGTGGTGCTAGCCTCAAATATAATATATATGTGATATATATATGAGAAGATATATATAATATAATATATATCATATATCATATATATATATATATATATATATATATATATATATATATATATATATATATAATCTCAGGTATCCCAACTGTGATCTTGCCAGGTTCCGCCCGACTATTGAACAGTCTTGAATGGAGAAATGAGAATTAAGAAATAATAGATGTTAAAAATAGAGACATAGACGTAGAAGAAAAAGACAGACACAGGATAGCATCGGGAGGGCTCTGGGTCAATACCACAGTCGCCCTGAGTTTATTTCTCAGGGCCTTTTTATACCCAAAGCAGGGAGGTAAAAGATCTCCCCCTCTCAAGGACACTATGGTGCAAGGTACAAACAAGAGTAAAACACCTTCTTAATTCTCAAGACACCTGGTAACCACACCTTTGGCCAAACATCCTGCTATCCAGTCTTAAGAGGGAAGAGAAGCTTGAACTCTCTGACCTTGAGGCAAGATGGAATCAAGCCACAAACTGGAGTCTTTTGTGGGCTCCCACATGACCTTGAGTGAATCACCCAACCTCTCTGAACTCTGGTTTTTTATAAAATGAGGGACACGGTGAAGGTGAGGGTTAAGAGGGCTAGGAGGGTTTTCTGTCTACCCAGAGAGTCCCTGGTAATGTTTGAGTCATTACCTTCCCGGGAGAAATTGTGAAGCAGATGGCCTTTTGTCCCGAGACTCACTGGGACTCTCCTTGAAGATTCCTGGGGCTTTTTCCTCCCTAGTGACTAACTTCAGACCTGGTAGAACGAGAGAGCCTAAGCCCAGTAGCTTTACACACACTGTCTGGATCTTCCCCTGAATCCTACGAAGCAGGGAGCGTTAGCCCATTGTACAGATACAGAGACTCAGGCTCAGAGGTCACACTTGATCAGCTACCTCTCTGTTCATTTGACTTTTCCCCTTGGAGGCCCTGAATGCTGGGCCAGCAGCTCTCCAGAACAGACCTGCGTAGTCTGAGAGGAGACACTGTTGACCCCACATCCAGTGGAGGCTTTGGCATTCAGTGGGGTGAATAGAAGATGAGAGCCATGCTCAAATGTGTCGGCCATCTTTTCTGAGCTCCTGCGGCAGAGCAGCTCCCTCGGAACCCCGAAACAGAGATGAGAGAGTTGGAAGTTCACTACAGTGTGCTCAAGAGTCAGCGTGGGGGGCGGGGGTTGGGAGAGGACAGGGATGAAGGAAAGGCTGGAAGTGGGTAAGGGAGAAATTGGGCTTCAGTGGACTCAGGGAAAAGTCTCATCCAAAGCCGGGGAGGAGCTCCAAGCAGGCCTGAACGGACCAGCCGTTGGGTATAGGCTGCCCTAAGGACAGGGTTGAGATGCTCCCAGAGGGCAGGCGTCTGGGGATGAGCTGCAGTTCCAGGAGAGGCTCTGGCGATGTCATGCACAGTCCAAGGATACCAACATCTCCACCAATTACAGCTTCCCTGAGTCTCAGAGGACACATCTGTTTGACTGGGAGAGAATGGGACACCCCTAACTCACTTCTCAAGCCAGGCTCTCTAGGTCAAAGGCCATGAATGGGCTCTGGGACTGGCCGTGTTGGGGTGAAACATGCAAGAGTCTCATAGCTAAATCTTGTGATTTTTGTGATTACGGATTGTGCTTATTTAAAATAAGCTTGTGTGACTTTTGTTCTCAGGGAGAAGTTTTACATTTAAACTGTAAAAATGTACAGTCTTACCAGACTTTTGTTTGCCCATTTTGCCGCCTGTGGGTTGTGAATGAGACAGAATCAGCCATATGGGAAAGGCTCACCCCATTGCAGTCCCACTGACTTCTAAAGGTTTATGTGGAACCCTCTGACGAGGCTTGCTCTGGGTG